AAGATTTCATAATTCATGCATCAAAGGGTTAAAAGCGCTAAAACTGACTGAGATATAGCCATACTAGTGATGGGTCGCTAGTATGGTAGCTCTCTAAATAAGTGACTCCCAAACTTTCCAGTTTCAGACTCACAAGACAACAATTGTCAAGATCATGGACGTAATTTTCACTTTAGAAGTGGAGGGGATGGGGGGGGGGGGGGGGGGGGGTATCTTTACAGTATGCTCTAATGGGAAACGGGCTTCAACACAAATGGTTGTTTTCTGCTTGGTCCTAGAGCTCAACCAGTGTCAATTTAATATAGCGTAATATTGGTTTGTGATGGTAAAAAGTGCATGGGTCAAAACTTGACTTTGGAAAAAGTGGGGAGGACATGTTTCCCCCCCCCCCCCCAAAATTACGTCCATGGTCAAGACATGCATCCCCAGAAATATCTGACTTGATGATACAAACATGCGCAGAAAGCTAAATAATTCAGGGCACAAAGGGAAACCCATCAGCTCATGTTCAGTTATATCCATTTATGACAATTTAGTTATGTTTTTGTAAAAATTATGCCATGAATACAGGGAGTGCAGAATGATTAGGCAAATGAGTATTTTGTCCACATCATCCTCTTCATGCATGTTGTCTTACTCCAAGCTGTATAGGCTCGAAAGCCTACTACCAATTAAGCATATTAGGTGATGTGCATCTCTGTAATGAGAAAGGGTGTGGTGTAATGACATTAACACCCTATATCAGGTGTGCATAATTATTAGGCAACTACCTTTCCTTTGGCAAAATGGGTCAAAAGAAGGACTTGACAGGCTCAGAAAAGTCAAAAATAGTGAGATATCTTGCAGAGGGATGCAGCAGTCTTAAAATTGCAAAGCTTCTGAAGCGTGATCATCGAACAATCAAGCGTTTCATTCATAATAGTCAACAGGGTCGCAAGAGGCGTGTGGACAAACCAAGGCACAAAATAACTGCCCATGAACTGAGAAAAGTCAAGCGTGCAGCTGCCAAGATGCCACTTGCCACCAGTTTGGCCATATTTCAGAGCTGCATCATCACTGGAGTGCCCAAAAGCACAAGGAGTGCAATACTCAGAGACATGGCCAAGGTAAGAAAGACTGAAAGACGACCACCACTGAACAAGACACACAAGCTGAAACGTCAAGACTGGGCCAAGAAATATCTCAAGACTGATTTTTCTAAGGTTTTATGGACTGATGAAATGAGAGTGAGTCTTGATGGGCCAGATGGATGGGCCCGTGGCTGGATTGGTAAAGGGCAGAGAGCTCCAGTCCCACTCAGACGCCAGCAAGGTGGAGGTGGAGTACTGGTTTGGGCTGGTATCATCAAAGATGAGCTTGTGGGGTCTTTTCGGGTTGAGGATGGAGTCAAGCTCAACTCCCAGTCCTACTGCCAGTTTCTGGAAGACACCTTCTTCAAGCAGTGGTACAGGAAGAAGTCTGCATCCTTCAAGAAAAACATGATTTTCATGCAGGACAATGCTCCATCACACGCGTCCAAGTACTCCACAGCGTGGCTGGCAAGAAAGGGTATAAAAGAAGAAAAACTAATAACATGGCCTCCTTGTTCACCTGATCTGAACCCCATAGAGAACCTGTGGTCCATCATCAAATGTGAGATTTACAAGGAGGGAAAACAGTACACCTCTCTGAACAGTGTCTGGGAGGCTGTGGTTGCTGCTGAACGCAATGTTGATGGTGAACAGATCAAAACACTGACAGAATCCATGGATGGTAGGCTTTTGAGTGTCCTTGTAAAGATAGGTGGCTATATTGGTCACTGATTTGTTTTTGAATGTCAGAAATGTATATTTGTGAATGTGGAGATGTTATATTGGTTTCACTGTAAAAATAAATAAATGAAATGGGTATATATTTGTTTTTTGTTAAGTTGCCTAATAATTATGCACAGTAATAGTCACCTGCACACACAGATATCCCCCTAAAATAGCTAAAACTACAAACAAACTAAAAACTACTTCCAAAAACATTCAGCTTTGATATTAATGAGTTTTTTGGGTTCATTGAGAACACTGTTGTTGTTCTCGTCTCGTCTCGTCTTCCTCCGCTTATCCGGGTCCGGGTCGCGGGGGCAGCATCCCAACTAGGGAGCTCCAGGCCGTCCTCTCCCCGGCCTTGTCCACCAGCTCCTCCGGCAGGACCCCAAGGCGTTCCCGGACCAGATTGGAGATGTAACCTCTCCAACGTGTCTTGGGTCGACCCGGGGGCCTTCTGCCGGCAGGACATGCCCGAAACACCTCCCCGGGGAGGCGTCCAGGAGGCATCCTGACCAGATGCCCAAACCACCTCAACTGGCTCCTTTCACTGTTGTTGTTCACTAATAAAATTATTCCTCAAAAATACAACTTGCCTAATAATTCTGCACTCCATGTATAACTATGGGAGACAATTCTACACAATGTGTAGTGCTCTGAGACTGTGACAAGATGGCTGAATACTGAACTCTTACGAACACTATAAAGTTGCAAACACCTTCAATCACTTGACCAAAGGACAGTTTAATTCCAAAATAAATCAGTGAAATAAACTAACTTTTTTTTCATGCTTTCTTTATGGCTGAGGGACAGTTTCTCTCTCACAGCCGTGTGCAGTAACCAAAGTACAGGTGAAGCTCAAAAATTTGACTATGGTGCAAAAGTTAATGTAGCTCATGAGGTTGATCGTGTTGTCCAGCAATTGGAAGGTTGCAGGTTAAATCCCAGCTCTCACTAGAGAATGTTGCGGTTGTGTCCTTGGGCAAGACACTCAACCGGCCTTGCCTGCCGGGGTGGTCGGAAGGACCGAGCGTGCCAGTGTTTGGCAGTCTAGTCTCTGTCAGTGCGCCCCAGGGCAGCTGTGGCTACATCGTAGCTCATCCCCACCAGCGTGTGTGTGAATGGGTGAATGACTGAGTTGTGAAGCGCCTTCGGGGGTTGTAGAACCCTAAAAAAAGCACTATACAAATACAGGAAATTTACCATGAGATACTTTACCAATAACACAGTCAGACAAACCTGCTCACACACTTGCACACAAAGCATTTCTGCAGAGGGCAGCAAGTGTAAAAATTGTGAAAGTTACCACCAGAGGGCAGCAAATGGCGATTTTAAACAGCAGTTGGACAGAGGTGAAAACTGCGTTCTTCTACTACTCTACTGTATGTACGTACAAAAGAAAATATAAGTAAACTTTTTCTTTCATTCTAACAAAAATCAGAAGGGTGTTTTCTTCACCTGACTTAGTCTGTTCTCTAATTCCAGCTGCCTGCGTTCAGTCTCACAGCGAACAAACTCCCAGCTTTCATTCAGCTCCTCCAACTGAGACTGCAGACTGTTTGGGCTGTCCCCAGAGCCAGTCTCCAGCAGCTTCCTGCCTGCCTGGTTCAGAGACTCCACAGTGCGGACATGAGACATGACATCATTTCGTAGCACCTGTGAGAAGAGAGGAGCACGGAAGGTCAGAGATTCATGATGAGATGATTTTTTGGATATAAAAAAGCTCATCACCAACCTTGTGCTTAGCCAGCTCTATTTCACATGCTTGCAGGTCAATGCTGATTGGCTGGTTGGCATGTAGCTGTTCAGCAGTTCGGGAGAGCCATGTGTGCAGCTCATCTAGTGTGTTCTGGAACTGACCCAAACCCAGCAGAGCACACTCCAGCTGATGCTGAAAGCACAAATGGATGAAAAGTTTTTAAATGCTGTAGTTAAAACTGAAAGTAAAACACAAGTTGTGTTCAAAGATTTTGTCACACGCAGTTAAACATTTTAGGAAAGTGGATTGAGTTGAAGAAAGTAGAACATCAGCATTAATGGTGCTTTTGTGTCCCACCTGTCTGTTCACAGTCTCTGTCTCTAGGCTGTCCCAGCGCCGTCTGAAGTCACACAGAGGCGAGATTGAGCCTGGGCGCTCTGAACCAGGAGACAGCCGACACACAAAGTGGTGGTCCAGACTTTCCATCTCGATCTTCTTCTGGTACAGCTCCCGTTTAAATTCCTGGGAAAAACCATGCAAATTAAATATTAAATACCATGTAATTATTCATTCATGCTGTTATTTCTTTTTAAACAAGCTTAGTTGGTTTGACAGCAGGTTGTAAGAGTGTGTTTTTGTACGAGCTCACCTTAAGATCACATAGCTGCTCCTTGACTGATTCCAGGTCAGTTCCTAACATGAACTCCTCTGTGGATCTCAGCTCGGCTGACTTCAACCACTCAAACAGACCCTGGTAAAAGAGGGGAAAATGCCTTAAATGTTAAAGTATTTGCTTAATTTACTCTTTCCAGGTCCCAGTAACAAACCTAATTAATTTATACAGTGTCCATGTGGGAGACTAACGTGATCTACCACTTATTTACAATAGCTGCAGTTTTAGACTACGCCTGAATGACATTGTCACGATTCCAGTCCTGCCACCCGCTCTACACCAGACATCTCCTGAACTCTACTTCCCAGCATTCCCCGCACTGGTTTCTGCCTCTCCACGTCACTGTGCTCACCCTATTTTAGGATGTTCCTCACAACAATCGTAGCTCAGGGATCGCTCTCTGTCCGTGGCCTTAGCGTTCCATTCCCGGTTCGGGTTGGTTAACTCGTCTAGCACGGTAGCGTGTTTTTGAGTTGATTTAGCTTTTCCAGTGTCGGCTCACTCCTTCACATCGTGCAACCTGAGCTTCCATGCTCACCTCGACCGGTGGCTCCCTGGCTGTTACCGCCGATTCAGTTCAAGTCGGACAACCACAGCTCAACTCGTTTAATCGTCACAGCTCGTCACTCACACCGGGCGATTCCAGAGCTCCCACGCTCCTCTACACCATCTGCAGCCTCCCAACAGTAAGCCCATTCCCTTTACTTTCTGGAACATCGCCACATCCTTGTGGCTCGTACCAGCGTTCCTAGATTAAGTGCGTGTCAGACATCTCCCATCACTAGCACTTCCGTGTTTGGGTCTTGTCACACGCTACACCCCTCCTCACAGCTCACTACGTGGAGCCAAGGTGAGGAGCCTGATCGACATAATGCAGCTCAGACTACACTAACCAGAGTCTAGCTTAATGTGCTTTGATGATTGTGGAACATTTAAAAGGTTTGTGTATATAAACACATGCTTCAGTACTGACCTGCATGGTGTCTTGGTAATGCAGAGCCATTTGTAACGACTCCTCTAGCTTCTTGTGACTGTCGCTCCAAAGTTTGCTTAAGTTGTTCCAAGTGCAATAAAGCTTTGAAACAACAGATTTGTGTGAATTTAGTTAACACGTCATCTGGATTGGCAAAAGGACCCGGAAAATAGCAACGACTTACTTCATCCATGCTCTTTGTGACATCTGGTTTGTCTGTATCCCCGCATGCTACCATCAGGTCCATTCCAAGAACCCCGAGGATGTCCAAATCTCCCTGTAAATTGTCTATGTACTCCCTGAGAGGCTAAACATTAAAAGATCAAACAGATTATGTAATAATATGTTTCACTATGAAATTAGCTCCTTATGATTAATCTTTGAGGAGCTTCTGAACAAACCTGCATGGATTCAAGACTTTGGCAGATTGTTTCAGAGTCTGCCTGACTGGCATTGAGATCCAATAGAGCCTGTTGAGCGTCATTGAGACCGGAAATCACTTCGCTGACATCCCTCCAATACTTCATAGAAAGATCCAAGACCTTGAGCAGCCAGTTCTCCCTCTCTTGCGCCTGTTTATATGTTTCATCCCATAGAAGGGACAGGCTGGATACTTGCCCCTGGATTGCTGAGAACACAGAAATATTGGGGGTATTACTCAGGGCCCTCATTAAAGAGTAAAAAGCTACATAACTTGTAACTATGGGTTATGTTTGAGAAGAACAGCCACCTGTTCCAATGGATCCATCCCCTGCTGCCTTGGTGTCTGCAAGCAGTTCATCTGCCTGAGTTTTGAGGCTGTTGAGACCTAACTCCAGCTTGGACAGCTCAGCAAGGGTTTGTTTGTTGTCCTGAAGCTGCTCCTGGATCCTCGGGGTGAGGCCTTGAAGAGAAGTGGGGGTCTGTATGCGACCACACAGGCGGTCAAGACTCTCTTTGATGAGAGTCATCCTTTCATTTAACTGTAGAATCCCAAACAAACAGGAAGCTGTTTAACTGAGTGAATTTGCTGTGTACAATACTTATATTGCATTACCAACATTACATTTGAACCATTCTTACTTGAGTGAATCGTGGTAAAGACTCCTCGAGAAGAGTGGCGGTCTCTTTGACACAGTCTCTGATGGCTTTGTGCTGCTCCTCAGCCTCCACTGCTTTTTGGTAGAACCGATCTCCCTGGACTGGGTTTAGTTCCGACAAGCGTTTCGCTGTGACACATAGGCGCGCAATCAAAGGCCGGTGCTCTGCTATGGACTCTCTGAGACCCTGGACAAGCAAAGGAAAAAAAATGTTTAATTGTTTCTTTATTGTAGCACTTTTCTGACTCAGAGGACTCCACAGCGCTTACACATTCATATACTGGTGGTGATGAGCTACATTGCAGCTACAGCTGCCCCGGGGCACAATGACAGAGGTGAGGCTGTCGGGCACATGTACCACCAGTCCTTCCAACCAGCAGCAGGCAAGGGAGGGTGAAGGGTCTTGCACAAGCAGTAGCGGTTTTAGACACGGGCAGACAGGGCAGTTGCCCGGGGCGGCATTTTTTCATGACACAAAAGGGGTGCACAAGCGCTGAGTAAAAAAAAAATAAAAGAAATCTGCGCCGCACCGAGGTTTTCTATTAGTGTCTGGATTGGAAACAGCAAGTTGGCGCCCCCTGCAGCTGCAGGCGCTCCTGCTGACTGAGAACTTTCACATGCACCGTGTGTGTATGGAGAACAGGAAGGGGAGGGGTGCGGCAGGGGAATTCACCTCTGGGTGGGTCCAAATGAAATGAGCGGGTAGGGGCTGAATCAACTGTATTAAGATGGCTAAAGTCAATCACATCTTGATGTTCTTCCATTTAACGCACATTTCATTCATAATATCATAAACACAGGCCTATCATTCTTTCAGGTGTTTCCGAATTGTATGAAATGGCTGAATAAAAAAAGGAAAAACAAAACGATTTAGTGGTAACCCCCCATCAAGGTCAAATTGTTTATTCCGGACTAAAGGAAACTTACTGAGTCAGGAGCCAAACAGAAGAGATGAACATAAAAAGGCTAAAACCACCAGGTGCCCGATTCAGGAAAAAAAATAAAAAAAGAGGAGAAAGTTAAAGGTATGTACGCTCTCATGATGCATGTTTTCAGTTTTTTGAACCAGTTAACTGGGATTTTAATGGTTAAATTCAGTCAACTAGTTGCTAACAGAGCTAATAGGGCTGAAATATTGAAACGAATATTCAAATGGTTCAAATAAATTCCTTGAATCGTTTTTTACTGATTCAAACTTGGATTTGTTAAATGCTCGCTGCAGCCCGTGGCCTGCCTGAACAACAACAAACACATGTTGATCTTGTTCACATAATAATAAATAAAACAACTCTACAAGCAGAAGAAAAGTCCCCAGTCACCACTAACTATCCTGTTTATTTATTGCAGATGGCTGCACTGATTATTTTTTACATGATTTGTTCTGTAAAAGTTGGCATTTTTGGTAGTCAACAGTTTTTTTATGTCAGTTTAAATTACAATTTCAGACGTAATTCTAAAATATTATGGATCATGAGATCTATTGGAGATCTACCCCAACTTTTGGACTGCTCTGCCGGTCACTGTGGCTCAAGCTGAGAGGAGCTTTTCAAAACTTGATCAAGTCATACCTGAGGTCACCTATGTTTCAGGGGCGGCTCACTAACCTGGCTCTGATTAGTATCAATCACTCAGTAGGGGAGCAGATTTCATATGATGACATTATTGATGACATTGCATCAAGGTTAGGTTTTAATTTTAGTTTGTGTTTTCTGTTCTAAGTGCAATGCTGTAGTGATTATCTGTAGTTAGTTATGTGTGAAATATTTTTGCTATTTAGAATATTTATTATATATTATGTGCATATATTCTTAATATTTAGCTAGTTTAGTTGTTTTTGTATGTTTGATTCTACATATTTTGATACAGTATATAATGTATATTGCTTTACATTCTGACAACTTCATAGTACTTAATGTAAATATGTGCAGCTTAGAAAAATGAATGTTCAATAGTCGTTCTAATAAAACATGCCTGTTTGTAGAAAACGTGTGTGTTCGTGCAGGTGGGGTGGTGTGGTGGTGGTGGCGGTTGGGGGGGGGGGGGGGGCGCTCAAGGGGGGCCTCGCCCGGGGAGTAATTCCACTGTGCACAAGGACACAACCACAGAGCTCCCTGCAGGGAGCCGGGATCGATCCTGCAACCCTCTGACTACAAGACAACACATTCTACCTCCTGAGCTACTTCTGCCCTAAATACCCAGTTACACATCAGTGCCAGAAGGTTCTGACGAGTGAAAAAGAGTGCTACACAGGAAGTTGAAAACTAAACATGTTTCACTAATTTTAAAAGTTGTTAGCGAGATACAGAGATCTGGGAGCTTCTGGCCGCTAGAGCTGATGTATAAACTGCCAGACAGTTCATGGGGACTGAGAGGGATAGACTTTGGAGCAGCTCATGAAAAAACTTAAGGGGATAAAAATCAAGTTACATCCATCTAAAAGCACGTCCATGACAGCCATCCCCACACACCCCTTTATACCACTGTTGTGTAATCTTTTGTGAAAAACACATGATCGTGCCACATCAGTGCCACATGCTGACCATCAATGAATGACCAAATGCCCCCACATGCCACACCATAGTTTTTCTATATAACCTTCCTTCCAGCACAAATGAGACAGAGACCATTGTGCGATTATTTCACTGTAAACTGTAACTTTAATTTTGGAAATCATGCACATTTTAGATGGCTGCCAAATATGTAATTTTTTTGCACATTTTTGACTGATTCACTTTGCAATTAGTCCAAATCCATACGACAATCAGTGCTAACATTAGCCAACCCAACACAGGCTGCAATTCAGGTTTCTTTTAATAACATTTTATCTTGTAATAATGTGTGAGATTGTGCACAAACATTGTTATCAACAAAGTTTACCAAATGTTTTGTTCAAAACGATTGAAAAGCATAAATCTAGAATTCTAAATTAACAAAGGGGTAAGTATCTTTTACCTGCAGGAGGTCATGTTGTTCCCGGAATGCTTCGTAGCTGATTGTACTCAGGGAGAGCTGTCCAACGACAGTCTGAGTTTCTTCTAGCCAGGGAGACACCTCAGCAAGACCCTCAGAGAACTGGGTGAGAAGCGACTGAGCATGCTCAAGCTGCAGAACCACGTGGGCGTTGGTGGCTGAGGTGGTGTTGCACTGTTCCTGTAGAGCCTCCACGGTGGTCTGGGTGGAAGTGAAATTTAACCAAAAGTAATATTTAGCCTTTTTAAATCTGATAATTGTATAAGGAAAAAAGGTTAAGGGTTACCTGAAGATCCTCTGCTTCTCCTTCATCACTATAAGTCATCAGAATTTCTGCAATCTTCACCATCTTCTCAATGTTGAACTTGTGCTGAAGAATCTCTACAGCTAAAATCTGCTCACAAGAAATTAAAACGAACCTTTACATGTTCCATACATAATTCTGATAAACGTATGGATGTGAAAATGTATTTGATACTGTAAAGGTTGTCTAAACGTCCATAGTGTCCCATACCTTCTGTTCATTGAGTTGATCTGCTATGACCTTTGGATCCAGATCAGTGGTTTTTAGCTTCTCAAGACTGAGTGCCGTGTTATTGAACCAAGCCATCTCTTTTACCACAGCCTGCTCCAGCTGATGAAAACATACATTTGTTAGAATATATACAACATGACGTTGTTCAACACCAGCAAAGCGTCCAACAAGGGATGAGGCTTAATGTGCTACAGCAAAGTAAACCTCAGGTGGGACGTTTCTGTTTACAACAACCTAAGATGTGAATATTCCAGAGTTTAGTGAAAAATAACTGACCCGCTGTTTCTCAGCTGCACATAGTACCGCATCTCCTGAATGAGTTTGAGCTCCTGCTGCTCCAAGGAGCTCCCTCTCAATACGGCCCAGCCACAGGTGGAGGTCCTCCTGGCTGGAGGTGCAGCGGCTGGAGGCTTCCAGGGCCTGCTCTAGCCTCTGAAGCACATCCAGACTGCTCAGACTGAGTACGGAGCAGCGAATACGTAGGGAGTCCATCTTCTCCTGTACCTGCTGAGCTTCCTCCTCTAAAATGACAGATACGTCACAACTCAGCCACTCCTTATCAGCTAGTTTCCTTGTACTAGTAAAGTAGAATTACACAAAGTTTAAGTTTCATATTCGTAAAACATAATCCAGTAAACATTACCTGAAATGGCTTCCATTAAATTATCAGCTGACTTCTGTATTTTAACAAGTTCAGCTGTTTGGGCTTGAATCTCATCAACAACAGCCTAAAAGGGCAAAGGGTTTGTTATATTCACCACAAATAAAATATATATATATATATATATATATTTAACATCTAACCAGTGGTGTCCAAACCTTCTGGGATGCAAAAATTAGAAATTGAAAAGTGAAACAAAAAGTTAAAATAATAATTTGTTGTCATTATTTTGTTACCTGCTAAGCAGTACTGTAGGTCATAATGTTATGGCTAATCAGAGTAATGGTAATTGCTAACCTTGGCCTTATCTGTGGCTTCTGAAAGGTGCATCATCACTCTCTCTGCGTTTCGTAGTTCGGCTAACGTCTGCTCCACAGATATGAGCCACTGTTGGAGGAGTTCTACGCCGTCCTGGAACTGCTGAGCTTTGGGCAGAATAAGCTCCAGATTCACCCTCCTAACAAAGTTTGGATAATTAATCAGTGAGGTTTGCTCAGAGCCGTTCGGCAAACACAGTCGGGCATTACTAATAAAAGTGTCTGACCTTTTCTCTGCCTGCAGCTGCAGGGTCTCCCACTTCTGTGTGAGAGTGGAGAGCTTGACCTTTGCCTGCTCTCCTTCCTCTCCTGGGTGGGCCTCTACCAACCGAGGACCCTCCAGCAACATGGAGTTCACACTGCGCCTTCGGTCAGTCAAGAGGCGCTGCAAAAGCTGCAAAAGCAAGGTCAAACCACGGTTTTTAAATGTCCAAACCAAATAATATTAAATATATTTTTTCTGTTAAATTTATAAGAAAAGACATCAAGAGTCGATTTAGTTTGAAGCTCTGTGCCTGTTTTCTGTCGCGTCTGTCTGTGTGTCTGTAGCTGGAAGCCCTGTCTCAGGTTTCAAGCTAGCATTGTCAGAATCTGGGAAGGTTTCATGTCATTATAGAGCTCACAATGGAGCCGGATCGCAGCTGAAAGGCAAACTGTTCTCCTCCTACCTGCACAGACAATGTCTTCGAGAAGCTCATTGTTGTGATGACCACCACCCCTTCACCAGCAAATAGAGCACAGGTTATTGTGGAAAATAAGACTCTGCCCCTTGTTTCGTAAAAAAAATCTACTTTTGTTGTTGATAAACTATTAATGAGTTTCTAATAGTGCTGTGTGCATTTGTAGTCATTATTTTGGAATTTTATAGCATCTAATTAAAAATATACATCTTGGGCCTAAAACCATTAGTGTTGCCTTAATCTCTTTTGACTAAAACAGTACATGGTGATGTACCACCACAGCAGGATGTTTTACTCTTGAGCCTTTACAGAATGATCAGAGCCGCTCACTTACTCCCAAAACCATCTACTCTTTCCTATGGTGAAGGAGTTGGAGAGAAATCCTCCAGACCAGGAAGCATCATGGCGTTTTTTTTCTGAGTGGTGTGTCAAGCCTAGTTTACTTTTCTGTTTGCAGCGGTGCGATGCAGAGACATGCAGCGCTATTGTCCATCATTGCAAGTGCTCTACAACAGTTATGCAAGAACGGATGGAGTAGACCCACTTTCCCGACTATTTGTCGATAGACCGCAAGCCTGTGATTGGTCAGGATGCCGCTTCCTATAACTTTGTCAACAGCACCAAGTTTCAAAAAAATATAACAAAGGCCGATGGCAGTATAACCCAGATTAGTGCTGCGCCCTCTGTTGTCCTGGAGGAGAATTGTGTCACAGCACTGACACACCAATGAAGAAGTATTAAAGGAATACTTCTCCATCGGTATGTGCACGTGTGAGTGCAAACTTGCTGAGGGAGTAGTATAAACTAAGCTTTGGTGTGTGTGTGTGCGTGTGTGTGTGTGTGTGTGTGTGTGTGTGTGTGTGTGTGTGTGTGTGTGTGTGTGTTATCATTTCATTTTTCTGAGAATCTCTGTCAGCCACTACTACAGCACCGCCCTCTCAGTTTTTCAGGCAAGGCCTTCTTTCAGCGGGAAGTGTTCATGGACTAAGACTCAGGTAGGGAAAATCTTTAGGGTGATTTTCTACTCAATATGTTTATTTTACATCAACAAAAATAATAATATATGGTGATTTAGTCAAACAAACCTTTTGCTCTTGTAGCTGTGCTTTGATGACTTCAACCTCTGAAGATGGAGGCTTTTGACTGGCTGTTAGCTCCTCAATCTCACTGACCCATGTGACCAAAGCCTCCAGGTTCTGGAGGAATGTCTCTGTATCCATGGACACATCCTTCAGAGCCAAGGCAGATTTTGTTCCCTGATGGGGGGAAAAAGATCAAGTAAAAATGAAAGTAAGTAGATAAACAGCTTTGGTAATGGGACGCAAACACAATAAAACATACCTTCCATCCTTCCAAACTACCATCTGGGTCTGAACCTGAGTGTCCATCCCTTTGGAGCTGCAAAGTAAAGAGAATTTATGTGATTTCCCTTTTCCTGAAACTAATGTCCTGGACCCACAACCCAGTGACGCACACATGTTATTGTTTTAAGACAGAGGTGAAGGAAAAATGGAGAGATCAGAAGAAGAAAACTGAAATGGAAAATTGATTAGATTTGTCATGTTTAATAATTGGTGATTCAACCTCAGCGAGTTCCTCTGCAACACCGTTCAGCACTCTAACAGTTCTGGTGACTATGGGGTTCCCTCCTTTATCTCCACGTGGGTATTCTGTCACTTCCACAATTTCTGTGACAGTCGTCTCCGTCACCTCAGTCACTTCTGTGACCTCACGTGATGCCATGGTCTTCCAGGACCAGGGGCTTCCTTCTCTCGAGTCCCTCCTCTGGAAACTGGCCCTCCGGTCTGCAGCATTCTTATCCGGATGAGCCAAGGGAGATCTTGCAAACTCTAGAGGAACTGTCTTCCTTGTTAGAGTTCCATTTCTAGATGTTTTTATTGGAGAAGGGTTGTTGTGCCAGGCATTTTCCAGAGTACTGCTACTTCTGATTGTGGAAGCAGGAGAGCTTTGAAGGGGTTCATCTGAAATGGGAGTATGAGCACCATCTTCCCTTTTATATTCAATTTCCTGTTTCTCCTTTTCTTTTTCCACCTCCTTTTCTTTGTTTCCATCCTCCCCGAGTTTGTCGATGTAATCCGCTTTGACTGCTTCATGTTTCTCGGCTGGCTGCCGTTCCTTTCGTCGTTGGTAGCACTCCTTTAAGAAGCCCTCGTCTGTTCTCACTTGCTTAGATTTCTGGCCCAGGCAGCTGGGCCGGCTGGCGAGGTTACCCATAATCCTTTAGCCCACAGGCTAGAGAGGTAATAGGCGAGGTAAGGCCCCTCGGCCATTCAAGCGGATGATTCCTCAGCTACCTAAAATAAAACAAGGGGACTCATAGTTATCAAGCATTACACAACTGATCATTTTGTACAAACAGTAAATTGTTATCTTCCTTTGTGTCTGTGTGTGCGTGCGTGCGTGCGTGCGTGTGTGTGTGTGTGTGTCACTAAATGCAATTTAAAATTTTTTTATCACTGCCATAAAGCGACTTTAGGCCGAAACAAGTCTCTCAGTAGTCATGTACCAACTTTAGGCTCCAACGCTGCCTTTGTGTGGGCACTGAAGGACCAGAGGGAACCAGGCCAAGATCCTTCTCCTTTTTTATTATAAACACATTCTCTGTGCTATCTGACATCAACAACTGAAATATTCTAGGCTTCAAAATCAATGTGACAAGCCTGTCGAGTATACTGGTGTTGGGCCTGGCACAGAGATAAAATGGTGGCAAACAGCCAGCCCTTTCTGTAACTCGGCTTGGACCAGTCCTGAGAAACCCAGTTAGGATGTGATTAAGTATGACAGCCATAAAAATGCAGACATCGCTTCATTTCTGGAGGGTGTCAACAGGAGGATGGGGTAGAAGGGACTAAACAGAACCTCCAATGTACGTTATTCAGGTCTAATCTATTGAATATATTAGACCGTATGATATGGTGCTTATAGATTAATGGTTTTAAGAATAGGTCACCAGGTGTTCTATATATAATAGATAATGTTCAGAAGTACCATGCTAGTCAGCATCCTATTGCCCCAAATTAGTATTCTACTCCGCTTATTGTTACCAACAGTTTAAACCCTGTGTCTGCTTTCTCCTCAGTTCAGTGCCTTCATTGTTTTGACAGAGGTTAGAGGTGAATGTAATTATCTTGACACAGAGAATCGAAGGTGAGCCTATCAGGAGATCACAGGGAGGGTTCCTGTTGAAGCCAATTCCTCCCTCTGTTCCATTCACAATTATACAGGTCAGTTAAAGTCATGCTTGGAGACCAAAAATCAAGGGGGAACAGCAAAATCAAGGAAACTGGAATATGTTAGCTCCTCAACCTACTGGGACGAAAGATCTGAAAAAATGTAAATGAGCTGACATGTTGCTGTTATGCTGCTGGCAGATCACATTATGCTGAATACGCAACTATTTCTTATCCTTATCCTTGTCTAGGGCTTATGAGGCAAGACAAAGAGACTCGGCAACCTAGGAGGATGTAATATATGTGTTTTTATATATATATATATGTATATATATATATATATATATATATATGTGTGTGTGTGTGTGTGTGTGTGTGTGTGTGTGTGTGTGTGTGTGTGTGTGTGTAACCAGTGGAGAACCTAAATATGACCTACTTTCATTAGATGACCCCATCCCTAAGCACTAGGACTCACTTACATCATGCCTGTCTGCTGAGCAGATGATGCCATCCGGGGGTCCACAGGGGAGTATACACTCAGATCAGAGTGGTGCCCAGACAACGCCCCTGCCTCAAGATCAATGATTACCGAGTTAGCTCAGATCACTACCCTCCAGTCTCCCAAGGAGAGCAGAGTCAGTGCCTTTAAACACACCAGCTAACGGTTTAACAGAGGGGTGTGCTGTGCCTGGTTGCTGTACCACTCGAGCCGTAATCTGGTAAATTGCACTGTTGTCTCTGCAGTGAGGTTGTGCTAAGCAGCAATCCATACAAACAAACTTTTTTGTAATGTTATGGTATAACTCATCTTATTGTTATTTTGCTTGTACGTTTTTATCATCTTTTCTGTGAGCTGACCTTGGGTTTTGATGAATTTAATGCATTATTATCATTAAAATTATTAAAACAGCAACAGGATACTAATCAGCCTAAATATGGACATCTTTTATGTATATATATATTTTTTTTTTGCTAAATCTAAAAAAACAGGAGGCAGTCATGTTACAGCTGACTTTTGGGCATCACAATATACTGCAACAATGAGTTGACCTATTTGTTGGTCACCACTAGACCAACCCACCATGTGTCTAACCTGATTCTGTTTCTCACTTTCTAGACTGATGATAAGAGAAGGAGTGAAAGAGAAAACCATCCTTCCTGTTCCAGATAGCCCAACCATTCCAGCACTTAACCTGTAGGCGGGCTTTGCTCCGCTCTCAGCAATGATTTATGACTGCACTTCATTCTGGGATTAATTGGATTATAGCCATGGTACGGGGCCTCTCTGTGGTGTAGTAAGATGAATTTGAAATTAAAAGAACCAAAATAGTTAGAGGGAGTTCATGATTTGGTACTCATATAATGTCCAACATTTATCAAACCAGATGTGGACAGTTTATTCCAGCATAATGTTCATGTATCTTGTTTATCTATTACTCCCATTCAGCTATGAGTGGATTAGTAATTAGCAGCAGAACAATAATCATCAATCACAACCGGAGAGCTTCATAATGTTGTCTGATAGCTGTCTGCTGGTGTCTCTTATGGGAGGAAGTGGTCTCTAATCAAAGATGGCAGCTGTGCCTTTACCCAAGAGACTCATAACATTTAAGGGTTCATATTAGTACAAGGTCAGATGTTCCTTACAAACAGCCCTTAAAGTGTACAATCCACTGTTTCCTCTTGACACAAGCAGTTACTGGGCTCCATGTCCACTGAGATAACAGGATCATCAGGAGGAGAAACCAAAAACAAGCTGTTGAGGTAAAATAAATGTACTCACAGTAGTAGGACCCATTCATACTGATGTAGTTTCTACTGGACTACTCCATCTTTCAACTTTTATTTTGATGAGGTTAAAGGTCTTAAAGTACCTGCATTGGATCATATTTACACTCCCATGGTTCCCTGGTTTGGTCACTAAGAACAGGCAAAGTCCAGAAGCAGTTTCTGTGTGGGCCAGTCCTGAGGTGGACAGTTTTGGCGGTTAGAAGCTCACGTGAGTTCCACTTACCCTGAAGCCGAGCTGAACCCAGCAGCGTGAGTAGAGGAATCCAGCTCACCCTCATTCACCATTCAAAGGGAAAGGAGAAGAAAAAAATCCAGCTTTGTTGGGGCATCCTTTCAACGGTCTCAGAGTTCCAACATCCCATACTGTAGGTCCCTCACACACACTCCCTCCCCCAACAAGTCCAGTCTTTTACACACAGTCACATACAAACACACTTTCTAAACACACACATGTCCTGATAACTCATGCTTTTCCGTTGCCCACAGTCACAGACAAACAATGCCCTCCTCTCCCAGTGCACCCCTCCTCTCCTCTTCCCTCCCCTCCCTGCCTTCACTTCACTTCTCCTCCCACCAGCTCTGCTCCTCTCCCTTTCTTCTTTGTTGTGGGAGCTGTGATAGAGGAATTCCTTCCCTGTTAACGCCACCGATGGGATAGTGCGCCCAGATGAAGACAATGTATTCCAACGGTTCAGCTGAACTCCCACAGTTCCCAGCCAAGAGCAGTTTTCACATGGATGGCAGATAGTAACCGCTCCACCACAGCGGCTGCACTCTCACCCATGCCACTGCCCAGGTTGTTCCTGGACCAATCAGCTCAGAGGCAAAGTGCCTCCTCTACCTTCCTCGAGCTCTTTTGTGTTGGTCCCACGTTACCCCCCTTCTCATGCAACAAAACCCCTCCTCTGTCGCACTGTGGCTCACAAACTCTATGCTGCTTCTGCTTGAAAAATGGGGTAGGGATGCAAAAAAAATGAAGAATTTTCTAAAGACCCCTGGGCTGCCCTCAAAACATTCACATGTTAAGTGACAGCTGCCTGAGCCCCTTCCCTCTCAGGATGGAGAAAGAGGGAAGTGCATGCTACAAAAGGAGGACCCACACCCACCCCACAATCCACCCAGCCACACATTCACCCCCATCCCCTCTGCAGCCCCTGGCTCTCCATTCATAGCCAGTACAGCAGTCTCTGCAGCACCAACAAACCATGGCTAATTACTGTAAAACATCTCAGATTAGATGTCAGCTCCATTCTGGAACCCAAACGTCCTTCCTTCGGTCTCTTTCTGACAGCAGGGCTAAAGGATCAAGCTTCCCAGCTTAGCTGGCGATGTTTAGTTTTAAATCAGAGTTCTCAGTATAAGAATAAGAATACCTTTATTAGTCCCTCAGCGGGGAAAATGCAATATTGCAATAGCTCAGGTACAGCAGGATAGCAGCAGTAGCACACAAGATATTGCACAAGAGTACATAGTAATACGTTCAGGTAATTACTTGAACATGGTGATGAGAGTAGTAGTTATATTGCACATGTTTTGAAAAGATGATATTTGCAGTGGAAGGTTACAGATTTGTGGCTTCTATTAGCAGTGACTATTATAGAGTCTAACAGCAGCAGGGAGGAAAGATCTGCGTTATCTCTCCTTTGTACAGCGAGGGTGAATCAGACTGTATAAAGACGGAGGTAATCACCTTGTTAACAGAGTCTAGCTTACCTGCTTGTGAGCTGGTTATAATTTCAGTTTAACTTTAAGTTAAAAGGGCAACTTGGTTACTTTTTCTCAACCCAATGAGACCCGTGAGAGACAGGCTGAAAAAGCTTTTATAAGCTGGCAGTTTTACGGGTGAAATATCAGAATATGGTGCAACAGTCCATTAATTTAGTAATTCAATTTAGACTCAGAGACCATCTAAAGCACATATGTCAGACACAAGGCCCGTGGGCCAGATGTGGCACATCATTTTATGTGGCCCGCGAGAGATTCAAGTGTCTTAAAATAAGTCGATGCCGCTTCAAAGCACACATTGACTATGAACTTCATTTCCCATAATGTATGGCGATTGTGTTCCCAGTGCAGTGACTCGCCACTAGGTTGCAGTGTATCCACTTCCATGTTTAATTAATGCAACAAGTGAAAATAACTATCCACACATCATCTCAAAATGTCCAGGAAGAGAAAGATTGATGCAGAAGGAAGGGTGTTTCAACGAAGATGGAACATGTTGATGCTTCAAAGAGAAAAACCGGTATGTCGTTACAGTCGTTAGCATCCATGCTACTAGCATCAGCATCTGCAGCGTTACCCTACTGTGCCTCGTTAAAAACGGAAAACACTCCTCTTACTCAGCACCGAGTTTACCCAGCAATTAGCCAACTTTGAAGCCCAGAAATGGATTTTAACAGCTCGGTAATCTGTTGCTGCTGACATAGAAGGCGCACCAACCAACTTCCAGACTGAGATGATTTAACTCCAGTTTAGCAACACGCTCAAGTCAGTATGGCTCTGTGGCTGCTGCAGCTTTTATCCCCCTCCCCGACACAACTGTGTGGTCCAGATGCTCTCCATGTCCAGCAGCACAAACCTGTGTGAGCAACTGTTTCTCACTGATGAACTCCTTCCTCAGCTCAGAGCCCAACCCCACAGGTGCAGGTCTGGCTGGAACAGGAGAGCATCACAGGAAATCAGAGTGGAGAAAACTGGGACTGAATTATTTTGGTTTTATTAACCTTTTCTGCTCCAAAGCTAAAGCTAAAGTTAATAGGTGAGCTATTGCATTTTCATTTAAGAGAGTTACTATTTTTTATTTATGTTGTTGGCCTGTGAAAAAAGATTTCACCTACTTTAAAACAGGAAATATTACAGATAGAAGAATAGAAATAAAATTGAAAATCCCTTAATTGTCCGTCAGTGGGGAAAGCTTGATGTCCCAGCAGCAATTACATTCATTACAGGAGCAACAAAGGAGAGTAAAAAATAAAGAATAAACAAGAAAACATAAAATTGAAACACTTAAAAGATTCAAAAGATAAAAAAATAAGAAGAAATGCTGAATATATGCAGATTTTAAGGAATTTTTTTTTAAATGGAGAGATAAGTAACGAATACCACTGTGCTTTATTTAAAATCGGTATGCTCGTGTGTAACTTGGTTATTCCACATTCAGTGTTACTGCAAAACTAAGTTTGTTTCTAAATGAAAAGGTTCAACCATTCATATCTGTAGATAAAGGAAAATGTGCACATTTGCCGTTGCTTATTAAAAAATATTGAGCTTGGCCCGTGACTTCATCCCAGGTTTTCATTTTGGCCCAGTGTGAATTTGAGTTTGACACCCGTGATCTAAAGGCTCAGGAACTCTCTACAGGTGTTCTGGATTCATTGGCTGATTCGAGTGTGACACTGAGTCTAGAATAGTAAACCTTTTCACAATATTCTAGTCTGAGACTTTGAATGTGGGGTTTTCATAAGCCATAATCATCACAATTTTAAACACAAGGGCTGAAATATCTGGTTTTGCATCTATTTTCACCTTTTAAGTTGAACTGCCATCATTGTGTTTTGTTTTTGCCTTCCACTGAGCTTGTAAACGTCTTATTCATACCACTTCCTCTACTGCAATGTGCTCACCTTGTTGCATATTAACTGAACTGTCTTTCAGTTTATCTGTGAACACTTTAGTTATTTCAGTTATGGGTGAGGGTTATGAGTGCAGACCTCTGACCAACACGTTTATAGAATAACTTCATTTCTGAAAAGGCAAATCTACCAGAACGGCTTCAGCAAGAACAAAACTCATTCTTTGAGGACATATCTTAAATCAAGGAAGCAGTTTTAGGTTACCAAACACAACCAGTACTTGTTTAGTGTAATTGGGGATTTGTCATAATCTAATTCCACAAGAGTTTTTCTGATCTTTGTCTCTCTTTTAAAATATAGTAAAATGTAACAAGAGCAAAGAAAAAGGACAACCGCAGTTCCATGAGACTGAAGCCAGACACAGTGGACAAACTGAATAGGATGACCCTGAAGGGTCAAGTTATTTAACCTCTGGGGCCTTTACTGGTTATCATGGAGTTGTTCATGTTGTTTTAATTATAATATTGCAACACTCATGTAGGCTAGAAACTCAGTGGAAAAATGCAAATTTATTTCATTTTTGTTCTAGTCTATTTATTTTATTGGTGTGTTTTTAAGGATGTTTACCTGGTGGTGGTGGTGGTGGTGGTGGTGGTTAAATTGTATTTGTAATGTGTTAGATTGATTTCAGGCATCACTGTGGCTTGCTTTACCTATAAAGGCATCAGTCCCATTTATAAGCACACAGCCTTTATTAATTCATTCTTCCTTAATCAAGACATGAATATAGAAGCCAATAAACACATTCTTGAGAGAATCATTGTTTCAATACATTGCCCTGAGGCTCACTATAAAATAAATAAATAAAAATAAGTAAAATACATAAATAACATATATATATATATATATATATATATATATATATATATATATATATATATATAATGATAAAAATTCATTATCAGCTTTTATACCAATATCCAACGTACCAACATCATCTAACTCTTATCCAATACCGATATATACCGATATCGGTTAGGGTTAGGTAACCGATATAAATGCTGTGTCCCTCCATCGTAAAACAAAGAGGCACACTGAATCATTTTAGGTCGCTAACATTATATTCCTCCTATCATTCATGCTTAAGCTTTAACATTATCAGTGCAAAATGACAACTTCTTCACTTTAAGTAACAGTAAAATGTTTCATGTCTGAAACTGCAGCTCAATCACATTTTCCTTGAGATAATCCTGACTAATGATCTGTGCTAATTATTTAGTTCATGCTGGGAATACGTTAGAGCAGGGATTCCCAAAGTGTGGTGCGTGCACCCCTGGGGGTGCGAGAGCTGCCGCTAGGGGGTGCAGGAGGTGAAAAGTGTAATGGCTGCGGAGCTCAGAGAAGTCTGTCATATGTCACCATTAGCGTAGCCAGAAACTCATTTGTGGGTGGGCCTAAGAAAAAGTAAGTGGGCCCAAAAAATGTAATTGAAAACAAGTATATTTTTACGCGCGCGCGTGTGTCCTCCACATGTGCCCTAGCGTCATAATAACAATGTGCCGAGCTTCAGCGCTCTGGCCTGCGCACGCCGATATGTTCCGTATTTGATCATTTTTAACGTTGTTGGAGAAATCTGAAGGTCATTCTGGCAGATTGTAATTAACACCTGTCTCATGCAGGTGTTCTGACTTTGTAAACCTCACACACAGAACATTGTGGATGTAACTAAATAACAAGAAATGATTCCCATTCAGGCTATTAACAGCGCACTGACGATCTGAAGTTCAGAGTGCGTCTGTCAGAGGTCAGACGCGTTCCAGCGGAACCACGGCTCACGGGTGCACAAGTGAGCACATCTGGGCTGGGCAGCAGTAATTTTACAACATTGGTTTAAATAGCGCCAATAGCGAGACGCGGTGACTGGAGCGGCTCATGGAGCTCAGCTGTGACACACACACACACACACACACACACACACACACACACACACACACACACACACACACAGATTCAATAAGCGCGCACGCTGCGCAAACTCCGGCGCGCCGTCAGACTGAAGACAGAAATGATCGCTGCCTCCTCAGGTTTTATAACAACATTGTTCATTCCAGGTCAAATTAAGATATTAGCTTCTATTTTGGGATGGCTCCAGCCAGTGACTCCGAACCTGACCACATCTCGTGTTACTGCAGCATTTGTTATTCCAGTCTGCATGGCAGCGGATCGCAGATTCAGCCACACCATAAAACAGCAATAAGTCGGTCTCAG